AATTTAATAATTTATGCATTTAGCAGACGCTTTTGTCCCAAGCGACTTACAGTGCATTCAGGCTATATATTTTTTACCAATATGTGTGTTCCCTGGGAATCAAACCCTCTACCATTTGAGCTGCTAACGCAATGCTCCACCACTGAGCCACAGGCAAGATCAGCCACAAGATCCTTAATCTTCCTTTCTGTGACTTCCCTAAAACTGTTCTTTTTTACACTGCACACCCACAATCTATACTAAAACGTATTAAGACTTGATATACACGTCTTGCTCCCCATTCATACTTAGCTATTGAAGTCATGCAATTTATTACTCCTTTGCATTTGTTTTGCATGTCTCTTCCAAGTTAATTTCTCATCAAAGATTAATCCAAGATATTTGAACTCTGTCACTCTTTCTAACAATTGTTCATATAATTTCAGAGTAATTTGTTCCTTTTTCTTTTTCTTTGTAAAAACCATATATTGAGTCTTTGATACTGAAAACTTCAATCCCCAATCTACTGACCACCTTTCAACTTCATTTATTGATTCTTGTATTCCTTTAACTACATTTCCTAAATTCCTACCTCTTTTTCATACTGCACCATCATCTGCATATAATGCCTTCCCAATGCTTGGTTTAACTGTTTCAAATATATCATTAATCATCAAATGAAATAAAATTGGACTACACTTCCTTGTGGAGTCCCATTCAGAATATCATACGATGCTGACATTTCTTCACCTATTCTTACCTGGAATGTATGCTCAAACAAAAAAATCTAATATCCAATTATACATTCTCCCCCCATTCCAATTTTATTTAAATTAACCAGATTTAAAAAAAAACACTGGGTGGATTTTTATCATTATAGGGTGGTTGTGTACACACACTGCCAACACACATTTCAGTTCCAACAACTTGTAAAAGTGCATGTAGCATCCTATGACCCCTTTAACAGTCCCTCCCTCCATAAAGTGTCATATGCCTTTTCATATGCCTTCTTACTATCATTTTCTCCATTACCTTGCATAGTGTAGATGTAAGAGCAATTGGCCTACAACTATTGGATTTTGTTGCATCTTTACCTGGTTTCACTACTGGTATCACTATTGCACTTTTCCAATCTTTGGGCAAGGTGCCTTCATTTCATATATGATTATATAAATCCAATAATGCTTTAATGGCTACATCTGGTAAATTTGTTAACATACTGTAACTGATCATGTCTCTCCCTGGCGTTGTATTCTTTGAATTGTTAACGGCTATTTTTAACTCAAAAGAATTTAAATCCTCATATTATTATCAACTCCTTGTTTTTTTCCGACAAACATTCTCATATATTTTACTTAGTTCTTGTCTTCTGTTTAAGAACTCTTTTTAAGAGTTTTCAATACTATGAATTTTAGCAAAAGTTTTACCTAAGACTTCTGTCTTTTCTTTATTCGTTATGGCCATTTTCCCTTCCTCTTCAGTTACAGGGATCTGTTTATAATTGTCAATACCACTCATTTTCCTAATCATTCTCTATACCACATGCATTCCAGTCTCTCTTCCAATTGTGTTACAGAATTCCTGCCAAGCCTTTCTCTTTGCACTTTTAATTACCCTTCTTGCAGCTGCCCTTTTCTTCTGATATTCTACAACTGTATCTTGCGTTATTAACCTTTTATCCGGAATGCCTTATTCCTCTCTCTAATTGCCACTGTGCACTCTTCAGACCACCACGGTACACTTTTCTTTTTCTTTCCATCACCTCTTATTAACGGTAAATTTCATATTTTTGAAATTTTCTTCACACAACACATACAATTGCTTCCATTTTGCCTGCTTAAATCCCCATCTTGCACACTGAATAAAGTTTTGCTTTCGAATTGCATTCTGAATCTCACAAACTGCAGGCCAATGATCACTGCCCAAATTATCTTCATGTACACTCCAAGTACACTTACCGGCTAAGGCAGCTGATGTTATTGTGAGATCTAAACATGCCACCTTTTATTATATCCATTCTTGTTGGTTTCCCATCATTCAAACATACAAGTGAGTGCTCTTCTATAACTATCCCATTATTGTCTGTATTTTTACTACCCCATAAAATCCCCACAGCATTAAAATCCCCACATATAATAATTTTACCCTGTGTATCACCCATTATTACTTATTTCTTTGCATGGATTATAAAAATTTGCAATTCTAATTTCTTCATGTATTCCCATTACTTCTATACTTACACATTCTATTTATTACTTTTGTATATTCTCTTATATGCTACGCCTACTTTAATAAATGTTGCACACCCTCCACCTCTTCCAGTTTCTCTATCTTTCCTCTCTACTACATATCCACTGATCTTAAAATCCAAGGAGCTAATTAACCATGTCTCCTGAATACACATGATGGCTGGTGCCTATTCCATTTCTGTGATATGTTTTTTAAATTCTTGCCCATTTGCTATTAAGCTCCTGGCATTCCAATGTAGTAGTAGGAAAGATATTATACAACTATTTATTATTACTCTGAGTCGTATCCAAAGCAGCAGTTCCTTCCTTTGCTTTCAAAATCCCATGGACCTCCTCTGCTGTAACTCCTGTTAACTTGAGAAATTTGTTAGCACATTCTACGACAATCTTTAACTTGTCCGATTTCCTTTCCACTTGTGAAGTGCCATTTACCACCGCACAAATGAATGCCACAAAGTCAATTTTATTCATCATAATATGTAGATCTGATTCCTTCCTCTCAGGATTTACTCCTTTCTGGATATAGGATTCCGTCCTGATTCCTTGCACATTAGTTCTCTTTGTTTCAACTATACCTTTGGCTTTTACCTTACGGGTAGCTTCTGCATATGTTAAATTTTGCACTGTTTTTATTTTTTGTACTTCACGAGCTTCTTGTTGCACAGGACATCCTCCCCCACAATTACAGCATTTAATCTCTACACCCTCCTCACACTTGCCATATTCATGTTCTCCCCCGCATTTTGCACATCGCATTTTCCCTTTACAAAGATTTGCAGTATGTCCCATTCGTTGGCATTTGAAACATCTCAAAGGTGGAGGTATGAACTCTCGTACCAAGAAGCTTACAAATCCTAGCTTCACTCTTATCGGCAG